TCATACTGCGCCGTATAGCGACTCAAGCCTTTTCTGTGCGAACTGAACTGATAGTCTTTGCTGTTCTGGCAGGTCAGTTGAAGGTCTGAGAACTTCAGATCGCTCGCTCACAACGTTTAACTTTGTGCAAAAGAACGACCGTGGTTAGATGAGGATGAGAGTGACCATTCGGACAACATGCTCCTTATCATGGAGATGGAGCGGCGTGACTGCGTATTCCATTCAGACATTGTGGCTCCCAGCGCTGCGTTTCGGGACAATTCCAATTATGGCTTTGCCCAAACGACAAGATGACAGTATAATTCCAAATGGAATGATTCAACAAAAAACGCATTCTGCGCCATAGTCAACTCAAGCTCGCAGCTCGACCCTCCTCATCTCCGAGATATGGTGTGTAGAATACACAGGGAAGAGTAATTTGAACGTAAAAAGAATGGCAAAGGCTAAGCGCGTCAGCGACTGGTTGCCAAAGGGGTGAATATAGTTGCAGGACCTGATGGAAATAGAATGCCATGACACTGAGCGCGTGATTTTGGTGCGCTTTACATTAGGTTGATTCAAAAGTTGTCGGACTTCGTAGCCTAAAATTTATTGCTGCAAAAAATGAAGCAGGCCGTAGTTGGTCATTTGAAATAAGCTTCATTATTATGTATGGTCTTTTGCCAACAAGTGGGTAGATCGTAGATGCCCTTCCCAGAACTTGGTTGGCTGAGCCTTGAAGAATCCGTCTAGTGCCTTTTTGACGTCGTCGTGGCTTTTGAATGTTCTACCGTCCAAATAGCGTTGCAGGTTCCAGAGTAGGTGGTTGTCACAGGGTGTAAGGTCTAGAGAGCATAGTGGGTGGAGAAGGGTAGTCCAGCAATACGTCGTTAGCGCACAATTCGTCGCCATTGCAATGTGTGCTCTGGCCGCGCCATGCTTAGAGTACACTTTGGCTTGCTTTCCCCATGCCTTCTTTAGGCGAGGCTTCAGATGTCATAGTTGAACAGCGCAGATTTCACCAGTCACTCTCTGCAGCTGCCAGTGTTCTACTCTACGAACACTCCACCAGATGCATAGCATCACTTTCTTTCCATGCAGGTCAGGTTTTGACGTCTTCTGCTTGTCCTCCTTTGTCTACCCATTGGGCACGGCGGCGCATGTTGGAGTATAGTACCCACTTTTCATCTCGGTGATTGGGTTGTCCAGCCACGATTGCTTACGTTTGAGGGTGAGAAGAGGAAGTGCCTGGTCGATCCTCCGATCCATGTGCCCCTGCGATAATGCATGTGGTACCCATCGGATTTCTGAACCTTTCCTATTGACTTCAATCTCTTGGCTAACAC